TGTACTAAAAACCTTTGCATTGTACACTTTATTTATTTATTTTTGCAATGACATAATTTATTTATCCAATCTCCCACTGGTGGACATTTAGATTTTTCCATTTTTTCACTGTGTGGAATAACCACCGTGTTTGAATGTAGACACTGAAAGAACTCACAAGTTCAGTGGGAAGCAAAGAGTGCATCATAATTCTTCCATCTTTCAACATCAAGTAATTTTAGCATTAGCATCTATGTGTACGATTTTACCAATCTCTAGCAAAGGAGAATTCTATAACTTTTGCCAGAATATGTAATTTTATTTCTAGCATGATTTCAACAAGGGCCTATTTATCGTCTTTGGCAACTTTAGCACCTAAGTCAGAAAAGCCAGCATCTAAAATCTCTGGTATGCCACTCTTAGCATGGGTTAGTGGTAGATCAAGCTTAATGGTATAGCCTCTTGACCAAATGTGCAAATGATGTGGCAATGAACGCCCTTGTCTATCTCTCTTTATGGCCCATGTATAAAAGTTTCTTTAGGGTTTTTACCTCAAAGGACAATTGCTGGGTAACAGGATATGTGCATTTTTAACCTTTATTAGGAAGCATTGGAAATTCTTCTGCAATATGGATTTGTCAAAATGGATGAGTTCCCATTTCCCACATCCTCACCAACATTTGGTATTATCCAACTCTTAAATTTTTGTCACTCTGATGGGTGCAAAATGGTATCTGAATGCAGTTGTTGGGTTTTTAATTTGGAAATATTTTCAAACTTACAGAAAAGTTGGAAAAAGACTACAAAGACCTCTCATATACCTTTTAACCAGATTCACCAATTGTTAACATTTTAGCCTCATTAGATTTATCATTCTCTACCTATACACATATACGTATTTTTCTGAATCACTTCAGATTAAATTGTGTGTATTATGCCCCTTCACACCTAAATATTTCAATGTATATTTCCTCAGAATAAGAACACCTTTTACATTACTCCAGTATAATGATCAACTTCAGGAAAATTAACATAACATACAATACTTTTTATCTAACCTGCCAACCATAATTTTGTCCACTAATAATGTCCTTTATAGCATTTTTCTCCCTAGTCCAGGGTCCAGTCCAGGGTTACGTACAGCATTTGACTGTCACAAATCTTTAGTCTCCTTTACTCTGGATTACTTCTGCAGGTTTTATTTGTTTTGAAGAATATAGTCCTCATGTTTTAATAAAATGTACTTCATTATGAATTTTAATGTAGTTTAACCTATGTTTTCCTGTTAAAATCTTCTCATATGTGTATTGGTTATTTAAATTTCCTCTTTTGTGAATTAATTATGCATATTCTTTGCCCAATTTTCTACTGAGTTGTCCTTATTGAGTTCTCTTTTTAAGATTTTTATTAAAAATATAGCTAACATACAATATAATATTAGTATCAGGGGTACACCGTAGGTATTCAACATTTATATACCTGGAGAAGTGATCACCATGATAAGTCCAGCAACCATCTGACACTGTACCACGCTATCACAATATTATTGACTATACTCCCCATGCTGTACATTATATCCCCATGCCTTATTTACTTTATACCTGGAAATTTGGACCTCTTATTTCCTTTCACTTTCCCCTCCTTTTAATTTTTCAATCACAATTAACATTGTGTATTATTTTATATTAATTTCAGGTGTACAGCATAGTGGTTAGACATTTATATAATTTAAGAAGTGATCCCCTGACTAGTCCAGTACCCACCTGGCACTATACATAGTTATTATAATATCATTGACTATATTCCCTATGCTTTACTTTATGTCCTCATGACTATTTTGTAAGTACCAATTTGTACTTCTTAATCCCTTCATCTTTTCATCCTGCCCCCAACACCCCCGCTTCTATCACCTCTATAGATCTAGTACCCATCTGACACCATACATAGTTATTACAATATTATTGACTATATTCCTTATGCTACACCCTACATCCCCATGACTACTGTGTAACAACCAATTTGTACTTCTTAATCCTCTCCCTTTTTCACTCACCCCCTCAACCTCCTTCCCATCTGGCAAACATCAAAATGTTCTCTGTATCTATGAGTTTGTTTCTGTTTTGTTTGTTTGTTTTGTTCTTTAGGTTCCACATATAAGCGAAATCACATTGCATCTGTCTTTCTTTGTCTGACACTCCACTCAGCACAACACCCTCTAGGCCCATCCATGCTGCTGCAGATGACAAGAACCCATTCCTTCCATGGCCGAGCAATATTCCATTGTATTTATTTATGCACCACCTCCTCTTTATCCATTCTTCCATCAACGGACAACCAGGCTGCCTCCACATCTTGGCCATTGTAAACAATGCTGCAATGAACATATGAATGCATGTGTCCCCTTGAAGTAGTGTTTTGGGTTTCTTTGGAAAAATACCCAGAAGTGGGATTACTAGGTCCTTCTTTATCTCTTGTTATAGCCTTGGTTTTAAAGTCTATTTTGTCTGATATAAGTATTGCTACTCCAGCTTTTTTTTTTCCCATTTCCATTTTCATGAAATAAGTTTTTCCATCCCTTTACTTTCAATCTGTGTGTGTCTTTCAATCTGAAGTGAGTCTTTTGTAGGCAGCAAACATAAGGGTTTTGTTTTCTTATCCATTCAGAGAACCCTATGTTTTTGATCAGAGCATTTAATCCATTTATATTGAAAGTAATTATTGATAGATATGTAGTTATTGTCATTTTATTATTCATATTTTTGGTCCCTTTCTTTTTTCATCTTAAAGAAGTGCCTCTAACATTCCTTGTAATACTGGTTTGGTGATGATGAACTCCTTTAGCTTTTTCTTGCCTGGGAAGCTCTTTATCTGTCCTTCGATTTTAAATGATAAACTTGCTGAGTAGAGTAGTCTTGGTTGTAGGTCCTTACTTTTCATCATGTTGAATATTTTTTGCCAATCCCTTCTGGTCTCCAAAGTTTCTGTTGAGAAATCAGCCGACAATATTATGGGAGCTCCCATATAAGTTACTAGTTGCCTTTTTCTTGCTGCTTTCAGGGTTGTCTCTTTGTATTTAACCTTTGCCATTTTAATTATAATGTGTCTTGGTGTGGGCCTGTTTCGGTTCACTGAGTTTGGGACTCTGCGCTCCCTATACTTGTATATCTATTTCCTTCTCGAGGTTAGGGGAGTTTTCAATCATTATTTCTTCAAATAGGTTCTCAATCTCTTGCTTTCTCTCTTCTCCTTCTGGTACCACTATGATGCAAATGTAACAACATTACGCTTGATGTTGTCCCAGAGGTCTCTTAAACTACCCTCATTTTTTAAAAATTCTCTTTTCCTTTTGCTGTTCCGATTTGGTGTTTTCTGCTACCTTGTCTTCCAAATCGCTGATTTGATCCTCTGCTTCGTCTAGTCTGCTGGTGATTCCATCTAGTGCATTTTTCATTTCAGTTACTGTATTCTCCACTTCTGATTGGTTCTTTTTTATGGTTTTTATGTCCTTTTTTATGCTTGCTATCTCTCCGTTTAAGTTCTCACTAAGTTCCTTGAGCATCCTTATAACCATTGTTTTGAACTTTGTATACGGTAGATTGCTTACCTCCATTTTATTTAGTTCTTTTTCTGTAGATTTCTCCTGTCCTTTCACTTGGAATACATTTCTGTGTTTCCTCATTTTGGCTGCCTCTCTGTTTGTTTCTATATGTTAGGTAGATCTGCTATGTTTCCTAGTCTTGGCCCAGTGGCCTTATATAGTAGGTGCCCTGTGGGCCCTGGCACAGTCTCCCTGATCATATGCTCTGGGTGCTCCAGGAGTGTCCCTTGTGTGGGTTGTGTGTGCCCTCCTGTTATAGTTGAGCCTTGATTGCTACTGATACATTAGTGGGTGGGACTGACCCTCGGGCTGACTGGCTGTGGGGTTTTGCCACACCCACAGCTTATGGCAATTTGCATTGTACACTTTAAATGGGTGAATTGTATGGAATGTGAATTAAATCTCAAAAGAGCTGTTAAAAAAGAACCATAAAAAAATGAGTAGGTTCTTACAGATGACAGAAGCCATGCCTCAAAATAAACAGTATTAAAATCTCCCAGTCCAAATTCATTTTGGAGGCTGTTCATACCACATGCTGATCTTGTCCTGGCTGTGTGGTCCATGCTATAGTGGCCCACACAGAAGGGCTGGCTTCTCTCAGTCCCTGGTTTGGCTTAGTCTCTTCTCTCAAGGTGGCTAAGTAAGTAATATTTAACATGTGCACAGAGCTTTACAATTTATAAAACCATTTCATAGTTATTATTTTCATGTGATGCAATTAACAACTTTATGAGATAGATAGCAGGGGGAGAAGGTAACAGTCCATTGTACAGATGAGAAAAAAGAGGGTCAAAGAGTTTATTATATAAATGAAATGACCTCCCATCTTATACCTGCACTGTGCCTTCCAGTTTACAAGTGTTTTCACCTGTGCTTTCTTTTATAATTTTTTTAAAAACTCTGTGAGATCAAGCAATGCATTCTAGTTTTACAGATGAGTAAATTGTAGTTCTGTGAGACTGACAGGATTGTCCATGGTCACACAGAAGGTACCTGGCTGAACCTGATTAAAACCTGAGTCGTCGACTCAAGGTCAAGTGCTCTGTCCCACAATTCTGCACTTGGAACTTACTCGGTCGAACATCCGGTTCAGAAGTCTCGGCACCACAGGAAAGATAGTGGGTTGAAGTACCTTGAGGTCATCCATAAGCAGCCTGATATCTCCTTGGAAAAATCCTATTTTAGCTCCATGACACAGCATCACACACTAGAGAGGTAAACAGAAATAACCAACATGGTATCATTGCCACAGGGGTTACACAACACATACATAGACACATAAGACTTCAGTTTTCACATTTCAGAAAACTTAAAGTTCCTATTTCCAGAAATGTTAGAGTTCCTAAATGTAGGTAGCTTTTTAAAACAAGGTTCTTGCATTCTTTGGTGACTGTACAACATGGAAATGTGGTATTTCTCTGATCATCCTGAAGAGGAAAGATCTAGCAAGATACCAGGGTATGTTGGTTTTGATGATGATCATAGACATTCTGCTATTTTAGCTTCATGATAAATAATCTGTTGACTGAATTACATGGTATTATATAATCCAAACATTTTTAGTCTTCCACAAACTTCAGGTCTAATTTATTTTCAAAATAAAAACTTAGCTATATGCTTACAGTCCAGGCTTATTAAAGTCTCATTTCCTTTTATTTGAATCTAAAAGTTTCTAAAAATCCACTGAATATGTTGCAGTTGAGACATGAGGACATCTAATGCCAGAGTGGCCTGTCATTTAGCTATAATCTATTGCATGACATTTTTCCTGTTGGATGCAAACTGGACTGGCAAGCCACATGAGCTTGGCAAATAGTCTGTCTCTTCTAAATTTTAAAAAGAAAGAGAGATTCAAAAGATGATGCAACAGAAGTACAAATGGTCTCAGGCTTGAAAGCAGAAACCATGAGAAAGGTACACCATGGTTCATTGTTTAAAAATTAAAGCTTAGGAGGTTTGGGGCAGTGTGCCCTGCCTTGCAGACACACTTTCAAAACTACAGTCAGGTACATATGGTCCATTATCAACTTGTTTGAGATCACTTTATAAAATCACAAGATCTCCTGAAATGTTCAGGAAGCAGGAGTAACGATGGAAGATGGAATCCAATGATCCTTGATCCTTTAGGGGTAAGTAAATACCACAGGGAAGCAAGCAACCAATCAAAGCATGGACTCACTACTAGTCACCTTTCTGTCACCAATACTTAGCCCAGGGCCTGCCTGGCACATGGCTGGTGCTCAAAAAATGTTTGCTAAATGAATGAATGTTGCCAATTGCTTTTCTTATAAGTATATAATCCAATATTGTCCAAGAAGGAAAATAAAGGTGGTTCTTGGCCAGTTTTTAAACTAGGCACACAGTAGGGTACAGGGAGCCCAGGTGAAGATCAACTAAAGCTTATCCTGCTTTTCCAAGGTCACTTAGAATTTTGGTGAAAAAAATTAGTATTAAGCCAACTTGTGCACTATGAACAAGCACAATCCAAAATAGAGACTTCTCACAGAGCAGAGGCCTCATTAGGCTTTATAGAATGGCATTCATAAAAATTCTACTTTTACAGTTAATCTTTCTGGAGTCACATCCACATTCATATCCTTCAAAATTTTGAGCTTCTAATTTTAAAATGAATTATTAAAGTTCAAGTATCCAGACCCAGGAAAAATATATATACTCTTTTACATCATTAGCACCATTTCTAAAATGGGGCTCAGAAAAGAATTAAATATGGGGCTGACCATGTGCACATCCAACTTACCTGCATCATTTGCTCATACATGTGTGCAAGTGGTAAAAACGAAATGTGTGTGTCACTGGCATTCAGGCCAAGTATTTTCTGTAAAACACAATGACTTAGCAGGACACAAAAAAACAAGCAAGCAAGCAAAACAAAACTCAATGCCTTACCTCAACAACTCTCTCAAACATATGGGCAAGAGGCAAGAAAGAGATCAAAGTATCATCTGGGGAAGGATTGACAGTATTCTGTAAGCAAAGACACCAGCAAGGCAGAAAAGCATTAAAATTTCCATTCATTTCCCACTTTATTTCAGAGCACATAATACCTCAACACCAAGGAGAAACAGCTTTTGCTTACGACCAGTAACTGTTTCTCACCAAAGAATGAAATGAAAAGCAGGACTTTCATTATTCAAATAGAGTGGAGGTCATTTCTAACAACAAAGTAAACTCACTTCTAACAACAAAGTAAACTTATTTTGACTTCAGTCAAAATAAGGAAAATTTTGCCCAGTTTGGGATGTTGAGGGATCATATGCTCTAATCATGTAGCATTTCAAAGTTATAGTACCCCACTGCCAAACAACCTGAGTTCCACCCAAAGTAAGAAATACAAGATCCAGTCCAATGTAAGACAGCATATTATGCTGTAAAAGGAAAGAAGGAGAGAAGAGAAGAGAAATTGGATTTTCAAGCTCTATTTATTCATAGAATAAGTAGATCTTGAGTATTTTTTGTTTGATCAACATCGTTACCATAAATCCCTACTTTACCAATGAAAAATACCAATTGGTTTAATGCGAGCTCTGATCTGGCACCAGGGGATTTGTTATTCTGTAAAATACTGACCATAATAGGTCTGCATCTAGATTAAGTATAAATATCTGGTTTCCATTCCATAGCTCTGAACAGGCTTTACTTATGGTCAGGAACAGTGAGGGTTTGAATGGAATGTTTGCGTTATTAACATAAAGAATTCTGGCTGAAAAAGAGGCTGCCACCAGCAGCTGCTGCCACACCAACTAAAAAATGAAGTCACTGCCAGGTTGCCTAGGCGGTGATGCATCCACTTCTTTGCCATGCCCACCCCCTCCCCAAAGCTGGGCCATCCTTCATAATAATGGGATAACAGGTGAAGCACCAGTCCTGAAGAAAAACAACAGCCCCAGAAACATGTGATGTACAGCTTGAACATGCCATAATCTTAGATTAATTTATTCAAGTGTGACATGCACCCCAACTGGTACTTCTTTGTAGGAAATTGTTATACAATATAATGAGAATCAGACTCAGTAGTAGCTATACTTTTCAACTTTCTTGTTTAGTGCAACAAATAATGTGCGCCAGCATGATTGGAAGTTTTACAAATTTGAGAATGACCCTGATAATTAATTTTAAACAAAGCTTTGTAATCATTTGCCCCAATGAGCCGCTAATGCATTTTAAGTTTTCTTGGAAGGCCCATTAGAAAATTAAAATTTCACTTTGGTAAGGTACTAAATATTGAATTCTGCTTAGAAAATATATACCAAAAAAAGTATTTGGGACTAAGAGAGTATGAGTATAAGTGAAAGTGAGATCGACCTTCAAAGATGCCCATTCTCCAAAATCAGCACAGGCTCCCGCCACAAACAGAGCCATCCCAGAGATTACAAAAGCAAATTATGTGAAAGTTCAAAGGGCCCAAGAGAAAGACATTGCATTGTTCAATAGTAACTTTCTAAAAGGCAAATTTGAAATATACCCTTGGTGTTACAGACTGCATTGTGCCCCCCACCACCAAATTCACATGCTGAAGCCCTAACTCAACATGAATGTATTTGGAGACAGGGTCTTTGGGGAGGTAATTAAGGTTAAATGAGGTCATAAGGGTCGGGCCCTGATCCAACTGGGCTGGTGCCCTTGTAAGAAGATGAAGATATATCAAGGACATCTCTTGTTCTCCTTGTGCACACAAAGGAAAGGCCACATGAGGCATAGGGAGAATGTGGCTGTCCACAAGCCAGAAAGAGAGCCCTTACTAGAAACTGAATTTGCTGGCACCTTGATCATGGACTTCTGGCCCCCAGAACTCGGAAAAAATAAATGTCTAGTGTTTAAGCCACTCAGTCTGTACTAGTTTGTTATGGCAGCCCAAGCAGACTAGAAATCAACTGAATTTTGAGGCTTTAATCCTTCTTATAAAATGGAAGTCAAATCGACCATAGTAAATAATAATAATTCAAAAACCTTCAGCATCATTTAACATTTCATTGTCAACTTAAATAAATTATTTTTAATACACTGAAACAGTAGATAAAAGCACAAGAAAGTCATTTCTCCTCTGCCCTTTCCTGGGAACATTTATAGGGCAGTCTCCAAATAAAGTTTTATAGTATAAAAGTTGTAATAATTGCTGTCAATTCACTTAACGGTCATAAACAGAAGTGGGAGATTAGGTCCACAATGAAAACTATTTGAGTGAACCACATTAAAGTTCAGACCTTCTCTGTATTTCACAGAGTGTTCCAAATGCAGTATGGACTTGGCATGGTGGGGCTGCCTCTACCACTTTCATTCTTGAGGCCTAATGCCGTCCAGTGAATACGAAGAAAGATGACAATATGCCAAAAGCTTACCTGTGTCATTTTCACAAAAGCTGAACAATCACTCACTATATTTCGATGAGTGATCATTGCTCCTTTGGGGTTGCCTGAGAAACACGTATAACCAGAATAATGTTAGAGGACAGAAACTCCATCCAAGAATGACAGAAATTAAGCAAGCCCAGATACCCTGTATAATTAGGGCCTCAAATGCCTCTAGCGTTAGGTACATACACCTAAGAAAGCCAAATGTTGAATAACATTAAATTCCTGAACAGTCTTCAATTCTTTAAATGAACCTTATTATCCTAAACAATTTTTATTCATATGGGCAAGTTTTAGAAGGTGTGTGGCAATAAGTGAAGAAAAACCAGGAATTTTTATATTTCTGTAAATCACTGATACAGTCTGTCTCAGGAAGTTGGATGAAGCATCATCTTCAATAAAAGTTTGAGGAAATGCACGGCACTTTCACATTCTAAGAATGTCTCAAAGAGTAACAAGAAGACAGTGCTTGAACCACTTCCATCTCTTCTACTTTCTGTCCATTTATAGTTCATTAATAAGTGACCCCAAAAAGGGGACAGGAAGTATACACTTCCGGATACCACTTAGAAGCAATTCCATTGCAAAGCTTACCTGTAGTTCCACTTGTGAAACAAATTACTGCAAGATCTTCAGGTGTTGGAGGCTATAGCACATTAAATAAAAAAGGAGGAATAAATGAGAATAGAGAAGTGTAAGCTATAAGGTATCACCCAAGATCTCTACGTGTTTCCGAGAATGACGAGATATTGGAAACTACACAGAGGGCTGTGGCAGGGTGCTTACCTTGGGCTTTCGTCTGTTGGCTCTTCCCAGGTCCTTAATTAGGAAAGAAAAAAAAAATCTTAAATGGAAACATTGTCTAAATGTAAATAATAAGGTCACATCAAGTCACTTCAAGCTGACTTTACTGTGGGGTTCACTAAAAGCTGGCTCAAACACAGCATACATTTCCAATTAAATAAACAATGGCAACTTAAATGAACCCAAACCAAAAAAATGTATCCATTGCTCTAAGAAGCTGTTTTCCAGTTGTCTTCTCTTGAATGCAGAACTATATAATGGTATTGGGGCTGGCCGGAACAGGATTTATTCAAAAGACAGGAATCACAGTCTTTTATAACATATGTCTTGCCCCCATTCCCACTTCCTATTAAGGCCTTGAACAAAGACCAGCTCTTAACAATCATCAAACACCTGCAGACGCTCGGCACCCTCCCCAAGTCAGAGCATAACGTGATGTACGACCACCTCATTCTGTATAACTAACATCTTCAATCTGGAGAGAAGGATCCGTCTGTCAGATTTAAATGCTAGCCATTTTAGAGGCTCAAATATCAGTACTCCCCACATGGAGCAGCGAAAGGACTGGGAAACTCCAATTATAAAACAGGCCACAATAGAAGATCTAGGGCCACTTTTGAATGGACATGAAAGTTAAGAATCACAGATTCATTTCTGAGGTGCTGCATTTCCCAGCACCTGGCTCCCACATACTACCAACGGCTCATTCTGATGTTGTTCAGCTTACTATATGAAGGCAGTCTCCGTGACTGCTTTAATATCTATTAATTTTTAAATGAACTATTTATATTCTTTTCCTATTAAAATTGAACAGCTTGAGTGAGTAATGGAGTGAGCATGCCTAGAATTAAGTGGAAATTAGATGGATGTGCTCGGGGCTCAGTGAGTTTCTGCCCAGCATACAGTTCTAAACAGTTTTTAATCTTAATCACATTTTAAATTAAATATATATATATATATATATATATATATATGACCACTAGTTAAAAATAGGAACACTGATGTCCAAATTGAAGTCAGCTAAGAGCTAGAGCAATGAGAGTTCCACCAATTTTTAAAAAAATAATCTTTATCAGATCTAAATTCCCACTCATCTATTCAAAATTCTGACATCTATCTCAAAATTCTTGAGATCTCTAATTCTTCCAAAATTGAAATGAAATAAAATAAAGCAACAGTGATATGCAATTTAGCTTTCAATTTATTGGGAACAACATTATCCAAATTAGTGCACTATTTGCCAAGAAAGTTTCACTTGCCTGAAGCCTGTCTTAAGTCATCGTTTAGGAAAAAGTTCAAGAATCATAAAAATAAACAAGTCGCTATCTTTAGGTTCCAAAAATGCCAAAAAAAGGAGAATCATACATAGAAGAAAACCTGAATTCGAATTAATGATTAGCATGCTGCAATATTTGAGGTGATAAAATATGCAACCTACTGAGAAGGCATTAAATAAAAGACAGACTCATGGATGAGTAGAGGGATAGAATGATAGATTAATATGTGATAAAGCAAATATACTAAAATGTTAGTTGTAGGGGCTCGCTGAGTAGTGTGTTGGTTAAGAGCTGGCTTGGGACGCCAGCTCTAAGCAGCAGGGCCCCGGTTCAGATCCCACATGAGGGCCAGTGACACTGCCCTCTACAGCTAAGATGGTGAACAATAGCTTGACCTGGAGTTGGGCTGTCATGAGTTGCTGACGATGGTGTAGGCTGCATGCAGCCCCTGCTGCAGTGGGCTGCCATAAGCTACTGTGTGTGGCTCGCAGCCAGGGTGAGTGGCTGGCAGTCGGTGTGAGCTGCCAAGAGCTGCTGTGAATGGCCGTCCAGAGGCTGGCGACTGATCTGCCTCACCCAGGAAGAGCGCAATGATAATACCAACATGGGCCAGTGAAGTAATGTCATCCACAACTAGACTGAAGAACAAAACGACAGCAACTTGTCTGTTCCCCTCCCCCAATTCCCGAATAAAATCTTAAAAAAAAAAAATGTTAGTTGTAGACTCTTGGTGGCTATATGGCAGTCTACTGTACAATTCTTTCAATTTGTTTGTATGTTTGAAAATTTTCATAGTAAAATATTGAAAATAATGTAAAAATTCCAAATATCAATGTTTCTATTTTTGATCCTGTATAAATATACAGTACAGTAATGTAAACTTGATCACATGATCAACCATAAAGCTAATTTTAAATAAGTTTGCACAGTGACAGAGATGATTACTAGAATTAGTGGTATACCTCATACTGTATGGTATAAAAATGTTGGATCACTATATTGTACACCTGAAACTAATATAATATTGCATACCAGCTATACTTTAAAAAAAAAAAGATAAGACAACAACAGTGAAATCAACAGAGATGTGAGGGGTCAACTGGAAATATACCTAACAATTTTACAACAAATATAGGTTTTTTACAAGGCTGAAACAATCCATTTCTTAAAAACAATCTTTTGCTTACAAAACTTTTAAAAACAAAATATGAACCATATTACACAGGGGAGTATAAAACAATGTCTTTCATAAATAAAGATTTTAATAAACTTGTATTACAATCTGCAGTCACTCATCTAAATTTTTTAATCTTAAAATTACTTCTTTATTATACAGCAGTCAAAAAAGACAGAAAAAAAATCCTGTGTTGTGTGTTTGTGTTGGGAGTGGTGGTCAGGGAGAAGGAGGAAAGATAAGGGGAAAAGAAATTAAATTATTGTGAAAAGGGGTTACAAGTAAAAAAATAAATAAAATGGAGGAAATGCTAGGTAAAAAGATATTGTAGCTAAAAACCCAGATTAACAACACAGCACACCTGTTAGCACTTGTGGACCCATGTTCTGTGTTTCTGTGTGTGCGCACATGAGGCAGAAGGCTCTGTCATGACAAATGACAATTTCCCTCTGACTACGAAGTTCCCCAGGAAAGGTTTTATAGGCCCTTATTTGTAGCTTCAAATTCTTTATAGAAGGAGAACTGTAAATAAAAAAACGCTATTCATAACAGTTCCAGGAAACGACTTATAAACATTGTCAGAAAGAGAATGACTTACTCTATGGAGCCTATTACTGCCTGTGGTATGTACACAAGACCCCCCTCCTGCCAGCTCCTTTGGAATGAACTCTAACCTAAGGCCAACAGGGAAAGTCAGCTTCTTACACAGGCTGATGTCGAACAACCAACTGAAATATGGGCCACACTCGTTTTCCTAGCAGGATGACCTTTAAAGTTGTGATGAATGTGTATCTGAAGAAATTTAATATGAATATAAACCAAATCAAACATCTGTGCTGGAAATTCACCAGGACTCTACAAAAGCAACCTGAGAAAAAGAATACGGAGGCAGACGTCCATGCCCACACCTGGCTCCGTTTCAGAGACACATCAGTAAGTAAAAGGCATTAAAGCCTAAAAAGGGACACACAAATGTAAATCTCGCCTGCAGCTGAAATTCACATTTCTGGCATTTATTGGCATGGCTTGTCAATGCTCTAGAATAAATACATGCGTATCGCAACAGCTTCATGAGAGGCCTCTCTGTGAGATGGGAGGCACTCTTGGTATGCAAGTAGAATTCTTTCCAGCAGTGAGACAGCAGTTTCTGCTCTCTCTCTTTCATGGGCTGCGAGATGACAGGCCAGAGGTGGGACTGCATGGTTGCATTGAATACCAGTTTGAACTAAAGTGACCTCCAGGAGACCCTCCAGAAGTGGGCGGGGCAGAGGCACTCACCTCCATTGCCTTCATGCTGAGGATTTCCACCCCACACTTCTTGCCTCGCTCCAACAGATCAGTGCCATAGGAGTCCATGATAACGATGATTTTGAGGCCTGGCGTTAACTTATTTTCTACACCTTCTAATAGCGTGTTGGCCTTCTCGGGCTTGTCAACAAAAACCAGAGAGAGTTCGGCTGGAAACGAAGAGATACAAGTGAGGAATGCGCTCTGGGATAGTAAGAGCTTGACCGTATAATGTCTGACACCAGGTTATTTTAAATATTACCTTAAAGAGAAAGGAAGATGTACATTTAAATATAAAATCCCTATCAAATCAAATATAAGCAAATGTCAAGTCACCGAACCTCACTGATAATGAGGCCGAGTTCCAAAGCCCACAGACGTACCTTTGTTGACTACGTAGGTGATTGCTTCGGCTCCAAGGGTGTCATACAGAGGGACGACCACCATTGAATAAGCAAAGCATCCCTGTTCAATGATCACCCACTAAGCAAACAGTGAAGGTTGGAGAGAGAAAACAGGATGTCATCACGGAACCACTACAAGGAGACCAACACTCTAGTTCTAAAGTGGAAACAGTAGATGCAGCAAAATTAACATTTGTACACCTCCTGCTATATGCCAGGCACCAGGAGAGATTCACAATGAGAACAAAACACTTGTCCTCTTCTTAAAAGGGAAGTGCAATTTACCTGAACAACTGAGGTAAATATGAAAAGATAATTAACAAGGCACGACAGTGACTCAAGCCCAGACAGCCACCGTTGTGGGGGAGGGAACTGAGCTTGCCCTTTACAAGAGCAGCACAATANTGATGGACCAGGAAGCTTTTATAGGAAAGGTAAAAGGCAATCTGAGTTTTACACGATTAGGAAGAATATGTCAAGCACCCTGGGCTGCGGGTGGACAGAAGAGGCGTTATGATAGGGGAGAGTACACAGAGTTAAGAGAGAGAGAGAGCAGCGGGGTCGTGGCTTTGCAAGGTCAGTGTGCCTTGAGGGGAGTACACCTGGAGCCTGCAGGGAGCGGGGCTGGAAAGGAAGACAGTGCCCATGTCACAGGGTCTCTGATGCCACCGCTGGTGATTAAGGGTAGTCCCATGAGCCAGCATGTCCAAAGGGTCCCTGATGGAACACTGCCTCCTTGGGAGGTCAGTGTCTATTTCTCGAGATACGAGTCTCCTGGTCAATAAGTCTGAAAATTGTTGGCTCAGGCCCAATTCAACAAGTCTCTTGCCTGCAGGAAAAGTGGGAGCCCATAATGAGCTAATGTACGTGTGACTCTCCATGAAATACACGACACGATGAACACATATTTGACCATGGAACCCCCTGTGCCATGAAGAACATCGATCTAGAGGGACCAGTGAGCTTTGGGACTCACCCTGGAGAGCTTATGGGACGAGACAGGGAGACTTGAATCATACTAAGGTGGCGAAAGTTGTGAGCAAATATGCCTTTCTGAAGAAATACCACTGCTGAATGAAATCCATTAAGCGCTAGCCACACAAATTCAGTACGATGCTTACTTGACACGTGTATGCCCCTCTGGAAACTTTCGTATAAGGTTTTGACGTCCTCGTAGAAATATGTCAAGGGCTCGTCACTGTCAAGTAGCGTGGATCTGCGAGCACCATCGCTGCCCTGTGGAAAAAGACAGATGCACAGATGAGCATGTCCAAAGAAAGCATTAAAAATAAAAAGCCTGAAGTACACGCCTCCGGTCCTCCAGGGGAACCCTGTGGGGTAGCTGCTCGGGGAGTATTCGTTGCATAAACTGAAGGACAGGCTGGGGCCCAGAGGCCCAGTTTGTGTCAGCTCTTGTGGAAATGACACAGCATTCAGTTTCACTTCCGTAATGTTATCTACATTCTTTTTTTGTTAAAGTGTATCTGACTATATATTTTTTGAGATTATTTCCACTCATTTATCTCTTTGCCAACTGCACTGTTAGGAACTTCAGTTTCTCATGTAGCATCTAACAGTTACAGTCATCAGCTCCAAGACACATGGTGTGCAGACATGCCTGTACCCGTGTGATGTGGAGCACTTATGGGTGTGCAGACTTGCTATTGCTGTGTACCCTTCTCTACGCTGCCTTCATCCATAGTAAGCACGCCTGCCACGGACCAGAGCTCCTCGCCAGTAGTGGGACTCATCTTAAGGGCTGGTCATTCTCCACCTGTGGGCTGCTGTACCCTCTGGGGCCACAGAGACACTGCAAGGGGTCCAGATAGCCACAGGAATGCCAAGCATTCTTTAGAGACTGATGAATGAAAGCTCAACTACTATGATGCCAGAGCCTACAATTTTTTATTTTTTTATAATATCAGACAGGGGCCTTCACATTTGCAACGGTCAGAAAACACTTTCTTGGGGAAATGAGACTATGATACACAGACTTCTGGTACCACAAAAAGGGCTGTTCAAGAGCGGGAGAGATGGTTTCTGGCTTGAGGTTTGACGAGAGGAGACAGGAAAGGCTTCATGAAGAAGAGGCAAAGGGCTAGGTCTCAAAGAGCAGGCAGGCTGTGCAGGCAGCGCTGATGGGGAAACGGGATGTATTCCAGGAGAAGCAGCATCATGGAGGCCCTTAAGGTAATGACTGCCAGATACGTTTTGATGGATTCCTTTTCTTCCTCAGTTTTTTTTTTTTAAATTAGACTTCTTCACTCCTCCTTCCACGTGCTCTTTTTCCTCCCTTCCAACTTATCATTTATATAGCTTACAATTTTTTAATAACACAGAAGTATATCAAGGAAAAAAATGACTAGCCCCTATTATCAATTTGGGGGTCCCTTCCAGGCATTTTTCTATGTTTATACATTTATATATATTCTTTCAGTATCTACTATGTGCTACACATGTGTGTTTAACTTTTGAGTTAAACTGCTAATAAGTTTCTGCAGTAAATATCACTCAATCATACATTCTTATCAATACACAGTCTTCTCTACCTTAGCAGAAACTTTCTAATACCTACAAGCCATGAATCCAAATATAATTATTAATTACAACATGCCACTTTCTAAAATAAAGAAGTTATTCTTCATGNAGGCATGCTGCTTGATGACAGCATTCCCTTCGCTTCCCCACTCTCACTTCCATCAAGACTCCACTCAGCTGCCACCTCCAGGAAGTCCTCTTTGACTGAGCTCCCATAATTCTCTTGCCCTCTGTCCACACTTAGCATGTTATGGAGAAAGCATCAACTTATGGGGCTGTCTTTCTTTATGCAGTATCTCACGAAGAGGATCTAAGTCGTTGTTGTACTTTGGTGCCTTGCACAGTGCCTGGCATATAGTAGGTGCTCAATAAACATTTGCTGAACTAACTCATAAATATTGGAATGAAGTAAGGGATCTGTGTTCTAATTATAGATTCATTATAAAATTCCACTCACACAAAATTCTGGGTGTGTTCCTTCGAAGGGGTTTCAGGTCAAACGAAAGAAACTAAATTCCATGAGCTTAGTCATGGTCCAGCTGTGGAAAATGCTGCTTTTCCCATACCAGGACATAAAACTCTAAGCAACTATTCTAATTTATAAAACAGTCAGTAGCACAGGAATTGAGCCAACATATCTTTTGGACACAAGTAGGTCTAAAAATTTGTTCATGCTAGGTGCTTCAACTTTTCCAAGCCAGCTATGCCATGAATGTATTTACTAGCACTATAAGCCATATCTCCAAAAGAGCTTCTCATTTAAATTTACTTTAATACAATGGGTTATAGAAGCACCATGCCTGGGCCTAGAGAACTAAAGGACAGGCTATGTGTCTAAATTAAGTTCAGCTCAAGGTGAGGCACTCTGCCCACTGTCCGTGGTATTTTAAACTTTGTAACTTTTTTTGATCAGAGGGAAAACTCATACCTTTCAGAAAGGAAAGATGAGAGTTTGCTATTGACAAAACTGTATCCCAGTTTCTCTGTAATTCATTAATGCTATTTTTCTAATCACAGAGGTCACCCTGAAATAGAAGGCTTTTTTGTTAGCGATCTGTTGTAAGGATTTTGTCTGGGGAGTTGGTTTGAAAAAACAAAACCAATAATTAAAAAAAAAGCGATTTCTTTTTGTTGTTTCCACCTAAGGCTAAGCAGGTGCTGGTTTGGGTTTTCATGTGCAACTTTCTAAGGAGTAACATAAAGCCATGTTGTCAGTAGAAAGCAGACCACAAAATTTGGCCTTCAGCTGAGACAGGTGTGAACCCTAATTGGCTCTATTTGAGAACTTAACAAACGGTGGACAGTAGGTGCCTCACGGTTAATACCTCAGGTCTGTTCTGAGCAAAGATGCCAATGTACTGATTGGGGGACATCTTGAAGCCCTTGTGGATCAGCGCCGAGCCCACACACTCTGCCATTTCCGCAACCTAAAGTGGGGGGAAAACCAGGAACAGCGTCAGTCCTGACTCAAGGGCAGAGCTAACTGCGTGCCAGCTGAGTCTAATGTCACAGCCGAGAGGCAGCTCTGCACAGAGGAGGAGCACAGAAGCCAACAGGTATTTCCTCAGTTACACATTTTTTGTACATCACAAGGTGTTATTCACCAGAACTCACTCTTAAGAGAACTGATCACACGATTCCTCCTGCAAAGCAACAACTGCTGGTCACAATGACAGTATGTCAGCGTTTCTCACCCAGTTCTATTTTATACCTCAGTTTTACAGAATCTTATAAAATTATAAAAGTAATACAGGGACACAAAATTTTTATTTGTTTGTATTTATAATGAGAAGCAAAGCATCCAAAACTGGTCATTTGGTATAAACACAGAAACAGCAAGTTTTGGGGAGACTTTTAAAGAAAATAGGAAACAAGTTCTTATCATTAGGCTCTCCAATTCCATTCTTAAGAAGTTATTCTTAGAAAAGAATTCAATCTTAGAGGGAGGTTTTTAATTTTTTTATGTACAAAGATACACATTTCAAAATTATCTAAAGCCACAAAACTCAATGGATAAAAGACCAATGGCTGGGTGGTTAAGTGCATGATGGTAAACCTCTGAGAAAATGCCATAGAGCTAGCAAATGTTACCATTATGAAAACCACGTCAAACTTAGAATATCTGTAATGATTTTAAGTAAAATAACTAAATACAAAAATGCATACTATTATTACAATGAAGTAAAATAGATAGATTTCTAAAAATTAGGCAGAACTATATACTTGCCTCTATGCCCTTTCCCCATTCCTACCACCAAATTAACAAAAAAGCACTTTGTAAATCTTAAAATTCGGAATTCTTTTCTTTATTCTCAGTTGATGGATTCTCAAGAGCACTTTTGATTCCCACCCACACACACGTAGGAGATAAAGCCACACCTATTCCTGCCCCAGAACCCTGTTGGTTCTGGCACATAATGCCACCCCTCCCTCTGCCTATGGGAGCGAGAGCTGCTGGGGAGGTGACAGCAAGAATAGCATTAGCTGCTTGTTCCTCTCATACCCCATGGACTGTTTCACAACTCTTGCTCGCATTAGGGATGGGAGCCTGGGAAATGCCTGCAGTGGTTTACAGCGTTTACTGGGATAATATACATGCATTTATATCTCTACAAAGAGGATCCATACTTTCTTCAAAACACCTCAAAGGGCATGCTAGCCCCCAAAAGGTCAGAATCACTGGGGTAGTGAGAAAAAAAAATGATTTAAATGTACAAATCTGAAGTTGGCTTCAGGTAAGTCCAGGTTTTAGCTTCACCGGCCTCTGATTAAAATGTAGAATCCATAGATTAACACCTTCAGAAACCCCAGTTGCAATCTACTTTGCAAAACCCCATCTGCAACGAACATGTCTTCTCTCGCCCACCTGACATACAAGAGAAGTAATGTGGGAATACACGACTGTGCGTAACATGACAGAAGTGATCCAGAAAGCACTGAGGATTCTGTGAGGCCCTAAGACACAATGTTATATGTCCAACACACATCAACTGTTTTTATACCACATGTGAAAGTGAGGGAATCTTGAAAACTACTATTTGGACACTATTATTTGGCTCTAGTAAGGCAAAATAAAGACGGCAAAATCCCTCTAGTCATCTGGGCTACAGCTCTTCATTCCTTCTACAAGCAAGGTATGCCATGCTGTTTTGCCGAGAGAGAGAGAGAGAGAGAGAGAGAGAGAGAGAGAGAGAGAGAGAGAG